GGTACTCTTATCTGAAGTTCAGAAACTACAATTTCCAGTTGAAAAATACTAAAACTTATTTTGTATTTACAAGATAAAGTTTTTTTTTTCTAGAGAACATATTTCATAAAGAGACTATATTGAAAACACTATACATCCAATTTAAAGGGGACAGAAAAAATAAAATGTTTGCAATTAATGAACAATCAAATATATTTAATAGATTAAAACTTTTTTTTACTTGTACTTCCAAAAGGGAGTACAGGAAGAACACCATACATCCCATTTAAAGGGATGGAGAAAAAAACAGCCTGCTGCATTGTACCCATGTTAATTTGTTACATTAAAAGGAATGTGTCCTTTTCAAAATTTAAAAAAATACAATTTTTGAAAATGTGGTTCTTGCATTTTCATGTAAATATTATAAGTGTATTTCTTGCAGCCTAGAGGTGGAAAGTGCTAGCTTGGTAATCCAGGATTTCTACTTTAATGTAATGCAGCTTCCTTGTACCAATGTAGATAGCGGGATGTCAGATTGCACAGCTTGATGAATCATGAAGAGAAACACTCTCTCTCTTAAACACTCATCTCTTTTTTTGTATTCAGGTAGGTCTGGAAGTGCAGTGCTACTGCTGATGCTTCCTATCACAAATCCCAGCTGGCTCTGCAAACACTGTACCATAAAAGCATATGGTAAAAAGAACTTTAAAAAAAGTTCTTACTGACATCTGTACCTGCAGACACTGGAGAATAAAAGTAAAACAGAGTGTCAGTGATAAGGCCACAAGATGGTGCTGAACCAAACATGAAATAGTGAATTGTTCAACTCTTATCAGAACAAGCTAATAGTCCATATAAGGAATATGTTTATTAAGCCAAATATTTGTAGCACCCTCCTAGTTTAGCTAGGGGGAGCTAGATCCTAATGGTTAGACAGGAGCTGGTTAGCAGCTCAAATGTAATGGCCAGTAGGGTAAAATTGCTGAGATACTCTGCAGGTCAGACCCTCTGGAATTTCTCCCTGCTCTGAGGCTTTCGGAGGGGGGCCTTGAAGACAGTGGGTGGATCTGAGGAGTGACTGGCTGTTCTCTTGAGGGACCTCAGCCAATCCCAAACAGAAGGCTTGGCAATAGGCTGGGATTCCCTTAAAAGTGTAGGAGCCTGCTCAGTGGCAGGAGTGTGAGGAGTCACATGGAAGAAGTAATAGGAAGATGTGAGGCTGGAGGAGGAAGGCTGCCAGGAGGCATTTTGAGATGGGGCCTGCCTGTGAGCTTGGAGAAGGAGAGGTGAAAAACTTAGAGCTCACTGATCCCCTGAGCGAGGACCACCTGTATGGCAGGGAAGGAGCAGCGCAGCTGGTATGCCTGGTAGCAGCAGCCAACCCGCAAGTGGTACAGGAGAGGATCTGAGTGAGCACACCTGCACCCCCTGGGTGGATAGGGGAAGGAGCACTCTGGTTTGAAACCAGATTAGTGCCCTACCAGTGACTGTTCACCTCAATTAAAGGGACAGGAGCCAGATCCCCTGCTCAGGAAAAGTTTCCAGATTATTGGGTGAAGAGGAGTTCATCTAGGGTAAGGGGTGGTACAACTAGGAGATGCTGGCTAGCACTCCAACAGAGACTGTGTTGCAGAAGGAGAAGCTTGTGAATAGTTCAAGAAGTTGTCCTCAGTCACCGGTTCCCTTGGGCACCCTATACCCCCTTTACCCTATCCCAGTTAAACCCCCTCAATAAAATACAAAACAAAAGCTCAAGGACTGGTTTCTGACTCTGAAGCAAGCTTGTGTGGACAATGCTGAATGCCTGGCTGTGCGGGACTATAAGGGGACCCAATTCATCAGCAATCCCTATGGGGCAGTGCTATATATTAAAAGCAGACTGGTGTAATAAATAGATCATTGTAGATTGTGAACTATGCTGTTGGCATAAATAGATAAACTGCTGGCCTACTTGAAATTTCACTGGTACTGGTCACTAAGAGAAGCAAGACAGTTGCCTGGAGATGTAAAGGTCGCCTTCAAGAACCTGCAGTCTTGATGGTAGATGTGAATGGTGGATTAGAGATGGAAAGTGACCACAACAGACCGGGGATCGCACCGCCATGTAGATGGGACCCGTGCATCAGAAGTGACCTCAGGGGGACCGCAGGAGAGCTGGCACAGTACACAGAGTTTTCTGTTCAAATCATTGCATTCTGGTTTCATGTAGCTTTTACACAACATCCCAACTTTTTTGGAATTATGGTTGTATATATTTTAACCACTTTGCATCCAGAGCAATTTTATTTAAATTTCATTTATTAAAATCTGCATTTTTGTCTATAAAATTACTTAAAACCCCCAAACAAGTATACATTTTGTGAAAGCAAAGGGCCTGTAGCATAAAATGTTGGCAGTTGAAATTGTCTGTGTCGCACGATCTTTGAACAAATGTACACCAAATCTATACATTTTCAGGAAAAATATACTAAAATAAATTTTAGTGCACACAAACACAATATAATACTCAATTCCTTAATAAAATATAAAAGATGGAGTTGTGTCAAATAAGTAGATACAAACATGTCAAGCCTTAAAAGTGAATGAACCCGTAAAGTGACAAAAAAAAAAACTATGGTACCTAAAATTGTCCATAGGTGAAACTTTTAAAGCCTTTGCAGGTTATAATGTGAATGATTCCCCAACATAATTCCTACCACTTCAATGTTTGTGTGAACATAATGTGTGGCTCAATCACTGTTACATACATACTTGTGTTTACCCTATGCAAGCCTTTGCATTCGCGAGTGTGCTTGGGTCGACAGGGTTGCTTTTAAATTTTTCTTTATTCTCATCATGTATCTTTTTAAATATATATGAAAAAAAGTCAAATCTACAGCACCTTGTATATTTATAACTCATCAAAATAACGTTTTGGATATGTTAGGACCCATCAGGTATGACAAACATGAAAGCGAATTCGATTTCATGCTGGCTGTGTTTGTCATACCTGGTGAAGTATCAAAACAAATCCGAAACGTTATTTTGATGAGTATTTAACTCTCTTAAATAAATAAGGTGCTGCAGATTGGACTTTTTAAAACAATTCTATATATTGGAGTTTGGGTGATCTCCATGCTGGTTGTGTGATGTCCTGACCAGCCTGTGTAGACAGGAAGAACTAAGGGCCTCACACTTACTGTTTTTGACAAGCCCTATGGTGACCGCTGGTCCGGAGTTTGCGGAGCATTTTTAACCCTCCGTAAACGCCGCATGCACGGTGTAGCGGCAGTTGCTAGGCGTTTGCCAAGCGTTAAAAATGCCCCACAAACACCTATAATGACGTTTGAATGGTGTTAATGCTCCGCAAATGCCCACAACAAACGCTGGCCGGGCATTTGCGGAGCGGCACCATAGACTTGAATAGGAGGCTTCAACACCTGACTCGACCAGAGGCGTCTGTTTTGCCACAACGCGACGCTAATGCTCACGTTTGAACAGCACCATGTGCTGCAATGTGCAGAATTTTCCCAGGCGGTTGGGAAACGGTAAAAACGCTTCCCAAACGCCTGTCTGCCGCTTGCTAACAAGGCTAGTGTGAACGTAGCCTGAGGGATGTGTCCAGGATGGAGGTATATTTGTCCCAGGTTCATGCTTTACACTGACTGTTTCTCCTTTGGTGCTGTGTAGTGAAGCTGTCTGGCTCACTGATGATCTAATGAGCTCAGCTGTAGCAGGTTAAGGGCTCTGAGTTCTATAAAACTCCCAGGCTGCTTAGGAAAGATGCTCCAACCTGAAACCAGTTTGCTATGCAGGACAGACTGGGGAGCAACCAAACAATACTGCGGTGAGAGTAAATCTGTGTGATTTTGGACTTGGAGACGCTGTGTGTGTCTGAGCAGCAGTAGGCTGTATCAAGACAGGTAGATAGGAACCTGTGTTTGCAGTTAGATGCCCAGTGCAACAAGGCTTTATTTTCTGCTTGTATTTTTTTTTTTTTGCTGTTTTGGATATATGCACCTTGTGTTCACCAGTCTTGTAAATAAAGCACAACTTTCTTCACCAAGATCCTGCTGTTGTGCTGAGCCTCTTTTACTGTGCTCTGATTCTCCAGGGGGTCAAGCAAAACCTGCTACTTGGTTAGTCCCCTCACAATAAATATATATATATATATATATATGCATATATATATATTTATTATTTTAGTAAATCTACCCCAGATTTTATTGCCAAAGCCTAATTGGTGTAGTATGAGCAAGTGACATGTCCTCCTTATGGAAGGATCAAGGGGGTCTATTAGACCCCTAATTTCTCCCCAGTCCTCTACTGCAGCTAATCAGCCACAACAGCCAGGGAATGACAGCTCTGAACCCTGTGGTGACAAAATGCTCTCCTGGGTTATTTTATCACAGAAAAATTCAGGAAACATATGTTCTGCAAGTTCCTCCTGCTTTGTATCCTGACAGAGTTTATGATGGTTCCTGGCTACCTGAAGGAATGGGAAAGCTTGGAAACAAGAGAATGGAAAGGGTAGGTGGATTTACCAAGCTGCAGTCTCCAGTTAAATCGTTTTTTACTGCATGTTAAGAATGTGTAAATACATTAAAGTTTATAGTCTGGGCACAGGTGCAGTTTAAAGACAAGCTTTCCATTTTGCAAAAGAACAGTTACATTGGTAAAGAAACAACCTGCAAAACAAATTATCACAAATAAAATATTTTATTGTGAATAACTTTTACTGGTTCCCACCTGTGTTAAGAAAAGAAACACACACACTGAAAAATACACACAAAATCAATACAGTGAAAACCGTGGCAAACAGCAAAGCTGTACACACACAGTTATTGACAATACATGCATTTGTAACATATTTCTAGCCCTGAGTAGATTTTCTTGTCTGCGAACACAAGTGCTCTGAGTTGTGCTATGTATCTGTTAATATTTTATAAACATTCTCAGATTGCTCTATCAAAGAATTTCTGTGCAGTTTCTGGAGTGACAATGTCTATTTTATTCTTTTTCTTTTCTAAAAAAGTCATGGCTTAAAAATCAATTTCATTGAAGTCATCTGAATATCCAGATGATTGTAGCGTCCCAGAATCTTCTGAATCTGTAATAATAAAAGTTAATAATTATCACATTTGCACTTGCTTCTGGATACTAAAAACCCTAAATTTAGCTGGTCCAAAACTATGTTTGCATTTAAAACTACTTCTTCAGTAGATGGGTTGACTTGGGAACAATCAACTTGTACAGTGACGGTTCGAATCTTGGATGGTTCAGCAGGGGTTCGAACCATCTATGGCCAGCTTTAGGGCTCTGTCCTCACATAAGGAAAAACAGTGAACCAATCTGCATTAATTACATCACAATTATGCGGTCAACCAAAGGCCGTAATAAGAAAATAATTTTTGTCTGCAACCCTTTACTCATTAAGAATCTAAAATATACGTGGGAAACATAGGAACTCCTATTGCAGGGGATGCCTCTAGTTTGACTTCAAGCTCTGCAGACCCTGCATTCATTACCACCACCTGAGCAATCTTAAGTCAAATTAACCACTTGCCCTCCAGAAGATTTACCCCCTTTCCTAACCAGGCCATTTTTTGTCAGACAGCGCTGCATTATTTTAACTGACAATTGCACGGTCATGCAGCGCTGTACATAAATGAAATTAATGTAATTTTGTTCCCACAGATAGAGCTTTCTTTTGGTGGTATTTGATCACCTCTGCATTTTGTTGTTTTTTTTTTTTAGCTATAAACAAAAAAAAGACCTTTTTGAAAGTCCAATTTTGGAAAAAAAAAAACAACATGTTTGACTTTTTGCTATAAAACATATCCAATAAAACTTTTTTAAAAATCTAATTTCTTCATAAATTTAGACCAAAATATATTCTTCTACATATCTTTGCTAAAAAAAAAATCCAAATAAGTGTATATTAATTGGTTTACATGAAAGATATAGCATCTACAAATGCTGGCATATATACTGGAATTTTGTTTTTTATTTTTACTAGTAATGGCGGCAATCAGCGACTTATAAATGGACTGCGATGGGCATTTTGACACTGGGAAGGAACTGATTAACTGCTACTGAAATCTCCAGTGACACTAATACAGTGATCAGTGCTAATAAAAAGCATTGACACTGTACTAATGGCACTGGGCAGGAAGGGGTTAACATCTGGGGTGATCAAAGGGTTAACTGTGTGCTGTGTGTGTTTTTACTATGTGTGCTGTGTTGACGTCCCCAACAGCCACTAGCGGCACAGGTAGGGTGGCACACGTGTCCCCTACACAGAAATGCAAATAACATATACAAGATTTTGCGCAGCCATGCCGTCCTGTTGCAGTACTTCTGCTATAGGGTGGAGGGCAAGTGGTTAAAAGAGGAAACATTCCCTGGAATTCATAAACACTGCCAGACAGGTTTTGCAAAAGTGTCTCTCGTGCATTCTAAAAGTGGTGAAAATGTGCCAAATTCATGTACTTGTCTGAATTTGTACTTGAATTTGGCTTATCCTACGTTATTTTTAGAATACACTCAAGACACTTTTGCAAAATCGGTCTGAGGCAGTTTTTCTCTTTGCTAAAAGAGAGTTGGTCTTAATTAGCTCAACTTTTACATTTGGCACATTGAATGGGACACAATGTAAAAGTACCACATTTTGGAACTACTTGAATTTCATGCATAAGTCGCTTTCAGAACCAAAAGTGTCGCAATTGCTGCATGAATTTGGTGCAATATGATAACGAGGAATTAACGCCAGAAAAGTGTCACAGCAGCTTTATTGAATTCCCCCCTTTATCTTTATCCCTTTAGTCCTAAAGGGGTTTATTTACTAAAGCTGGAGAGTATAGGATCATCAGGGGTGGACTGACCATTCGGGAACTCGGGCACTGCCTGAGGGCCCGGGGTCAGTAGGGGGCCCCATGAGATGCCCCTGGTACCTTTCATAGGTTTTTTTGGGTGTGGTTTGAGTGTGGGCATGGACACAGGGGCCCCACTATCCCCTATTGCCCAGGGGCCCCATGAGTTGTCAGTCCGCCCCTGAGGATCATATTCTCTTCTGCATAGATACCTATCAGCTTTCAGGTTTTATTCCCAAAGCTTAATTGAACAAACTGAGGTTAGAAGCTCATTGGTTTTTGTGCAAAAGAGAGCCTGATTTTGCACTCTCCAGCTTTAGTAAATAAACCCCCAAAAAACTTAGAAAGCATCTTATAAAAATAGAACTACTCCTGCAGCACATACCTCTCATTTGACTTCTAGCTCTATGCTAACGTTTAGGCTAGGTTCACATCTGTGCGGGTGGTGCCGCTGCAGATCCACATGAACATCCGTGCAGCCGCACCACCCACACAGAGAAATGCGAACCCGCAGGCGGGTGCCATTAGTTCTAATGGCATGCCGCCCGCACTGGAAAACGCAACTGTACTGGGAACCAATGTTCACGAGCGGGCTGCGTTTTCAGAAGAAGTGCAGGGACTTCTCTGCATTGCACGGGGCACGGGAGTCCATTCAATCGAATGGGCTCTTGTGTCTGCGCAAACGCGGACCGCACGGCCGCCTATATGTGAACCAGGGCTTAGAGAAGACAGTAAAACCAATTGCATGAGCCTGAAATGTTAAGAATATGTCCAGTTTGCCATATATCAAAAATGTGACATTTGGCTTTTTTTTTTGCAGTTTTAGAAAATTCTAGCAACTGAAAATTGAAATGGAAAGGTGTTTTTTTTTTCAATAGCATTAACTAACAAGATGCATAATGTATCAATTAAACAGTATATCTAAAATGTTTATAGAAAAAAGGTGACATTTTCTTATACCACCTCTCCCTTCCTTCTTCTACTCCTAATATTTACTTTTTTTTTATATCCTCCACATTTAGTTTTATCTTTTGCTGTTCTTCTGTTTGTAACATCATATTATGCTGGTGTTTGATATTAGATTTATTTTCACATACAGTATTTTTTTTTTCTTACAGGATTACATTTTAGTTTTATTCCACTGTACAAAATTAAAGAAACACTAATGCAAATAAGGTAAGAACCTGTTGGGTGGATTTACTTAAGAAAAATAGACTGTACACTTTGCAAGTGCAGTTGCAGTCTGCAAGGGCATATTCTCTAGTGCTTCCTAAATGAGGGGAAGCTCTGCTTACTTCTATCATCCATTCACGTGCAAGCAAAATTGCTGTTTCTTTCCATTTTCCTTGCATGTGATTGGGTATTCTTTGCAAAGTGAAGCTTAATCTTGTTTACGAAGTTCTAGAGCAATTGCACTTGTAATGTGCACAGTTCATTTGCCTTTAGTAAATCAACCCCATGTCGTTTAAAATTAATTAAAGTGGAGACCCATGCTGAAACGTTACCATAAACTTATGTTAACAATTTTGCTTTGGTGAATCAGCACACAGTAATAGAAGGGCCGTAACTCTTTTCTTTATTGTAATCTCTGCTAAAGGTAATGATCAGAATGATTAACGCTTTCTTTTTGACACCTTGCAAGCATATGCCTAGACTTCTGGTTATGATAACCACACAGGGAGAAGCTTGCAGAAACATTTTTCAAGAAAAGGTCAATATATGATTTGTTCCAGCACTCTTTGTATTTACATCCCAGTGAGAGTGTTAAACACATTATAAACCTTCCTACCTGTACCTTGTATTTTTCATCTGTGTAGCACCCTCTTACTTAGCTAGGGGGAGCTCTAGTCCTAATTGTTAGTTAGAGGCTGAGCAGTAGGCTGGTGTAATAGTCAGAGGGGTCAAATTGTGGTCAGGGGTTGAGAGGCTCTGCAGACCAGCTCTCTGAAACCTCCCCCTGCTTTGGAACTTTGGAGAAAGATCTAGAAGCAGTGGGTGGAAGTAAGGAATGGCTGATCTGTACTTTTGAGGCATCCTGGCCAATTCTTAACAGGAGGCTTGGCATGGGGCCAGGACAGACCTTAAAAGTGAGAGCCTGCTCAGTGGCAGGAGAGTTCGGGTGGAAGATGAGGAAGTGAGGCTGGAGAGCAGGAGACTGTGTGGGGGCCCAGATAGAGAGGGGCTCACCCACAGGTAGAGGATCCTGGAGGGAGGAAAGGTCAGGACCTCACTGGCCCCCACAGCAAGGACCACCTGTGCAGCAGGGAAGGAGCGGCCCAGCTAGAAGGCCTGGTAGCAGCCACCGGCCCACCAGCAGTACAGGAGAAGGACTGAGTGAGTAAACCTGCACCCCCTGGGCCAATAAGGGGAAAGAGGCACTCTGGTGGAAAACTGGATTACCATTTTACACAGGACTGTTCACACTGCAGTGGCAGGCACTGGATCCCCTACCCAGGGATTAACCAAGTACAGCTGGATAAGGAAAGAATTCATCTAGGGTTTGTGGTGGTACTACAGGAGATGCTGGCTAGCTCTCTAGAAGGGACTTTTGCTGTAAAGACTTGTACATAGTTTCTAAGGAGTTTGTTCTCCGTTACCAATCCAAGTTCAATAATCCCCTAAAAAATCTTAAAAACAAAGCTCAAGGAGTAGTTACTGTCTCCTGATGCAAGTCTGAGTGAAGGAAATGCGTGTTGCCTGGCTGTGCAGGACTACAGGAGGATCCAAACTTCAAAGGGGGTAGTGCTACATCTGCATAAGATGTGCATTGATCATGTAGTGCCATAGTGTAATTTGTTAGCCTGTACACACAGCCTATAGTGAAGTAAATCTTTACATTCCAATCCCAGAAGTTTGTTTGTGTTCAGTCATGAGGAATGACAAATTGCAATCCAGAAGTTAATACATGACCTCTGTCTGTACTCTACAACCCAGCGCACACATACCGAAACTCGGCCGGTTCAGTAGGAACCGGGAAAATTATGGTACGTGTGTACCGCTCTCTGTCAGTCTAATGATCGACTTTTATCAAGCAGTCATACTGTCAAAACCAGCACTCGATCAGGGCATGCAGCCAATGGCTGTGTATTCCGACGGGGGGGGGGGACACGTGATTTCCTGCTTTCAGAATACAATAGAACAGAGGGAGAGATCCCTGTATCCACATTGCGTGTGTTGATGCGGGGATCTGTCAATTTGTTTCATTCAACCCGCTGGTTGAAGGAAAAAAGAACTATATATGTATACCCAGCTTAAGAACTGCCACTTCCTGTGACAAAATTATATATCTCACAATCCCTGGTTCTCTCAGTCTGGGACTGGTGCAGGTGAAGTACATTAGATCTGACACAGCCACAAACAGGCAGAGCATTCACAGAGAGATCAATGTTCTGGAAGAATTGTGTTTTCATCACCTTAATGCTTTGTGATGCAGCATGGAAAAAAATTACAAAGCACTGACTGGATGATTGGGAACAGGAAGTTGTCCAGGCCCTTTAGCAAATAGGGACAGGCTAGGTGAATGAATACATGGATATAGGGGAATCAATTAGCCATGACACTACTGCAGCTGCAACATGTGAGCCCATCACCACAAGTTAAAAAAAACATTTGAAAATGTACGATGCCTTAGCCATTATATTCACAATAAACTATGTGTCCAGTTTGATGTAGAATTTGGCATAAAGTTGATATTTCTGATGGTATGGAAGAGTTACAGCTGTCCCTAATGATAAAATTTGTTAAACTGCAATAAATAAATAAATATATTAAATACAATCAATGGAAAAATACTACACAAGTGACAAGAATATTTCAATATAACAAACATAGCCATATACCTCAAACAATGTCTATTTTTCTTTTCAGAAAATCATGTTATTGAGGGTATTTCTCTATGTTTAGTTTGTTATACCTTTACACCTAAACATTACCTTTTATTACCTGTATTGTGAACATGTCCTTTTGTGAAACTGAATCCCTTTATATGTCTGGATATTTTATTTTACTGTAATTCAGTAGAAGGTTACAGATTATACTTTATAAGCTACACTAACAAAAGAAAGGCATTAATACAACACAATAGAAATAGATATACTGTACTCCATAATAGATATACTGTATGTATACACCATGGGTTACCTTTGCAAGATCCATTCTGAAACATGATATCGTCAACTGCAATATCACTTCTTATAGAAATACCACGTATGGCTTCAAATACTATCTGTTCAAAATAAAAAGTAGAACATTCATTCAATGGGTATTTATCATCTATTCTCCAAGAACGAAGCGTGTAATAAAGATTTGGCTGTTTCCAATGGATATTTCTAATTTTTAAATACAACTGATTGCCTATACCAACAGAGTTTAATATTACAGGTATATTACATAGGATCCTAATCAAGTGTCATAAAAACATTTTAGTGCAATGATCATTACTATTGGGTGCATTTACACCTGTGAATGCACCCTGCTGGTGCTGAGGGGGGGTCCCCAAGATTAGCTCAGAGTAGGCAGCCCAATTAAAAGCAATGGGAGGCTGCCGACTCTCACAGTTAATCATACCCACTCACATGTAATCTCTCAAGCAGCAATCACATACATGTGATCTGCCCTTTACGCAGCCAGTCTGCATCCAGGGCAGATCACCCACATGTGATTGCTGCAAATTAAAATAACTGTAACATTTGTGTTTACTGAAGTAGTTGAATAAAATACATGCACTTAAACTACCCTGCTGCTGCTAACACTGCTGAGTGTTTCGAGTAGCAATGTCCCACCTAACCACTGTTGTTCCTCTTGCTGACCCTATGAAACTTTTGGGGCCTATAGTGATGTAGGAGTTGGTGGGAGAACACCAGGGGCAGACTGACAACTCATGGGGCCCCCGGGCAATAGGGGATCATGGGTCCCCTGTGTTCTGGCCCAAACTCAAAAAATCCTATGAAAAAGGTATCAGGGGCATCTCATGGGGCCCCCTACTGACCCTGGGCCCAATGGTCAGTCCGCCCCTGGAGAACACACACTTCTAAGAGTTTCAAACTCTTGGGGCGATTCATACTGCCCACTGAGCTTTTGTAAAGTGCAGCTAATCTGCATTTTTCATGCTTTCCGACAGACTTCTAAGAGATCCTGCGGTGTCAGAAAGCACACCAAAACTCCTGCATTCTACATCTTTGTTGCACTTTCTGAAACTGTGGGACATCACAGAAGTCTATGGGAAAGTGCAGCTAACCTGCACAAAACCTGCCGGTTAGCTGTGCTTTACCCAAAGCGTATCAGGACCACACTGGAGCAGTGTGAAGCAGCCTTTGGTCTTCCATAATATCAAGTGGCACTTTGCATTGACCTCTCAGACCATACAGCTGCAGAATCAATGGTCATGTTTAGCTTCAAAACAGGGATGCTTTAGGCTTAGTACACTTGCTTCCTGGTTGTTGACATGATGAGACTACAGAAATGTAATGTGGGGTGCCAGGTCATGTATTGTATTAAATCACTGTTATATAGAACACTTGTTCAAAATGCTTAAACACGTCATATAAATCTTGAACTCCAGGAAAATAGCTAAATACACAGATAAAATACAAATCTGGGAGCTGTTTTACCTGCCAAAGGATTTTCATTTCTGCCTATCTAGTCCTGACAGTTACACAGCTCTGGAACATAACACAGGCCTTTCTGTTAGGGGTAAGAGACCTGATTTCCTCTGCAGCAGTTAGGTAACAGTTTGCAATGATGAAAAAATGTATCTTCTATTCTATCTGTCTGGACTTCATTAAAATAGGCTGGCGAAAGTTGGAATCTCAGTAGCGTTTGGATTAGAGCAGTAAAGTTTAAAAGTACAGATGTCCTTTTTTAAAAAGGAGGGGAACATGCTATCTGAACCTAGTTCGTCTAAAGAAACATCAAGGCAGAAAATGTTCTTCCATTCTATCTTCTGTTCTTATAAATATAATCTGAGAAAGCAGAATTCACACAGATGATATCAGTCATTGTCTTTTATTAGTTAAATTACAGTACACTGATACATTCCTATTATGTGCATACTGGGGGGGATTTGCTAAAATTGCATTGTGCAGAATCTGGTGCAGCTCTTCATGAAAACCAATCAGCTCAACCTATGTTTTATTGTCAAAACTAAATTTAATAAGCTGAAGCTAGAAGTTGATTGGCTACCATGCGCAGTTGCACCAGATTCTGTGCGCTCAAGCTTTTGAAAATCTCATCCATTGTGTCTCTCTAAAATTAAATTCTTTTTTACTGTTCAACTTTTATGCAACTGTTGTGTTGTAATGTGTTATGCAATTGTTTTAAACTTACCCTGTGTTGCCTGTTGCTTTCATATTCTATCTGTGCTCTCAACCAACTAATACTTTGTTCACCTCTCCTGGTCCACAGAAGAGTATCTTTATATCTGCCAAATTCTTCTCTCACGTATACATTAAGAAGTCCAGTGCCGGCACCGTACATATGGTAAAAGAAAGTTAAGCACTGTTTTCCATGGATGGCTCGAAGTGGCCTAGAGATAAGTCTTGCTTTCTGTCCATAAACCATGTTGGTGGCTTCAATGTACATGTAATATCCTTAGATGAACAAAATTACAAAAACATTTTAATCATTAAATTCAGTAATTATTCCAAAGTGTTATTCAATTTTAAAAAAGCTATATTTCATCATTTTATAGATATAATTTAGAAACAAAAAATTACTAAAAAATGTTTTTCAGAAATGAGAATATAAGATTTGAGACTGTACATTTACTGTCATGTTACAATAGATGTGCATACAGTACATACAGTTATACTGTGCTTAAACATAAATGAGATCTGTTGTGAGTTGTGGTAATGTGCGGCATTTTAAAGTGGTTCTAAATCTAAACCATTTTTTACCCTAATGAATTCCCTGCATTAAAGGTAAAAAATGCCCCCTAGCAGTCTCAGCCCCCTACCCCTAAACACTTACCTGAGTCCACTATCAATCCAGAGCTGTGGCCGGCTTCAGCTCTTCTCTCCCTCTGCCTGCTCTCACAGGCTACGCTGGAGGGGGGGATGGGAGAATGGGTGTGGCCAAGCCACACTGTGTGTGTCTATAGCCTGGCTCGGGAGCATGCCCACATGGGTGCCCCCATAGCATGCAGCTTTCTCTGGGAGCACTCAGAAGAGAGGAAGACCATATAGTGCTGGAAGGGGACCACCAAAGAAGAGATAAGGGACTGCTCTGTGCAATATCTTTGTACAGTGCAGCTAAGTATAACAACTTTATTATTTGAAATAAAAAAATTAGCCTTTAGAATCGCTTTAAGTTTATTAGAAAAATAGAGTTTGCAGTTCATTGTGTGTTTTTTGCAAGAGCTTTTGATGACTTTACCATGTGAATGTATATGTGGATATTTTGAATAAAATGAGTTGCTTGCAGTCTTCACTTTATGACTTACATGATACCTATACTGGGGATATTGGTGACCACTAAGAGAGTCCTTTGGATGCAAGCTCTGATACATCTGTAACATTTATTTGTATACTCCATTTGCTTGCAGGGTCTAATTATTAGATACCCAAAGGGGGGTGTGTTGGTAACAATGATGTTTTTCTAAGTGGTGAAAAGTGTGATTCTCCGGTGACACACAGAAGAAATTGGATGTTGTTTATCACATGAAGATTGGATGGCATATTATTGTGTTTGGATAATTGCACATATTGTCTATTTACATTTTTTTGGGTTGATGAATTTCTATGTATGTGAAGTATATCATATATATGTGGCACCTATATATTTTTGCATATTAATTGTTTCGCACAGATCTGTCCCTAATTGACACTAGGATTTACATAGAATTTTGATAAAGGGAGAGTGGTATTGATTTGAGCGCTTCACTTTTTTTTTTATTCACTCTAAGTTTATTGTATCACTTTCTCATGCAAAAGTGAACCTATAGTTAAAATCTACAGTTTAGCTATTTACCAGGGATTGAGGAAGCATAGTTTAATATGACAAATCAATCAGTAAAAAATTTGATTGGGCAATGGAACCCAGCATTTTAAATATATTGTTGTGAATGGGGTGCATGGGTACACTGTGGTGCATGAGAACCTTTTTGTGAAACATATGTAAAGGTGAACTTATCTTCTAACAATCTGAACGTTTTCCTTTCATTTCTCAATATACTGTATGTGTTCACTAAATATTAACATACTGAGAACTTGTGGACATTTAGGACCTATTCACACTTTTCCTGAAGTAAAACACATGAATTTCATTGCATGAACATGGATTTCAAAGCCTGTGTAGCTGGGTAACATCTATGCACTGCAGTCTAGTGTGTATTTAAAGTGAAAATATAAGGTCCTAGTTACCACAAACACTACAATATCATCACATAATTTGCAAACTTTCAATAGCCAAAAATTGTAATGTTTTACTTCTGAATACCTCCATTTCTGTACACAAAGAAAGTCACTTGCACTCAGAAAAGATAAGGTCAGCGTGTACTGCTAAATGTAGTCACAATAGACATTAGTAATGCTCCACCTTATCTCAGCACTAGTCTTTTTGACATGCACTATAAAGACCTCTCAAACAACAGCAAAACCAACCCAATGTGCATATGACCTTAAAGTGGAACTTTAGTCAAAAATTAAGTCCTGGTGGATCATTTCAGGCTGGCCCCTTTTGTATGTATAGATATGTAAAACATTAAAAATAAGTGCCTATACTGGTTAAAATCCACTGTCTCACCCTGCTCTGTACATGCTCAGTTGCTCTCTATTTTTTGGCACTGTGCTGAATTTGTGGAGGCTGATTCCGACAGCCTAAAGACTTACTGCTACACAGGGGCTCTGATATTCAACAACATTGCAGCCTCCAGCGAGAAGAAACAGAAACAATGCTGGAGGCAATTTACAGAGCACACTAATTGTGGTAGGAAAATTATTAATGTGGAATGCATGTTCCTTGCTGAAGAACATTATTTTGTATCAAGTTGTTATGGGTAAAGTTCCAATTTAATCACCTAAGTAAATTTCGCAAAAAAATACAGTTGTCATGTAAATTGTTTTATATAAGAACTGCAGAACTCACCTACCCCAGAAGTGTGGTCTCCCTCCCTTTGGTCCAGTGTAAGATGTTGGTGTTTCTCCTCGTTTTCTGTGCCAAATACCCCTTCTTTGCCATTCCTGTTGAAATCCACAATCATCTCTTTCAAAGTTACATCTTCCAGGCAGTGGAGGCATCTTATCTGCAATATGTCAATGCAAACATAGTCAAGAATAAAGAGAGCCCCTTACCATGTTAACAAATAAAACAAACATTCTTGAATCAATGACTAATATATAATCAAAAAGGCAATACAAAATATCCTATAGCTTAGAAATAACAGAAATAATAATCTTTCGCTAGGTGCTGCCTAGAATTGGGGTGAGAGGGTAGCTGACCCACACATCATCAGAGTCAGTTACATTTCAGACTGTGTTCATTCAAGATCCTCAGGTTCTTGGAGACATTCTTCTGTATAAGCCTTTATTGTGTGATCAATACACCAGTGGCCTTTATTGATACAGTCTGTAAAGTATATCAAGCTCCCAGATCCACCCTTTTAAAGTGACTTTGCCCACAGCTTTGTACCTCAAAGCACTTAGGCCTACAGCTTAGCATCCTAAAGTGACTTTAGTCTACAACTTTGTGTCTTAAAGTGACCTCAGTCTGCAACCTCTCATCTTTTAAAGTAAACTTTGCTCACAACTTCATTGCTTAAAATGAACTGCACCTACAGTCCTGACTTGAGAAAGAGAACTACCCTACTCACTGTACCTCCTCAAGTTACAGCACCCTGCATTGCACGCCAATGGAAAGGGCCCCAGCTAAGCCAGCAGAAGAAACCCATTTCTCAGACAGTGTCATATCCAGAGTTATCCTATTAGAAATACTGGTTAGTAGGAAATCTACCAGATTTTCATGCTTAAACTTAGACTCTTCTAACTGAGAGCCCAAAAAGTGAGCTAGCCAATTGATTCCTTGTTCATCCCTACATTTCTCACTTAGGGAGAAATCTCCCAGTCTGAAGGCTATTCTTTATGCTCTTGGTCCTGATGAACATAGGTGGCCATGCTGTAAAGGGTACCTTTCAGCATTGTATCGACACTGTGTCAATACACTTTATTTACTGCTCAATCCTAGAATTGTTGCCATTAATACAGCCTGGTCATTTGTTCTACCATAATCGGTGTGTATCTTTTTTGAGATACTACCAGGAGCTTCCTTGGTCAAGGTATTCTGGTGGTCTCCAGCTCCACTCCTAATGACAAATCTACTAATGGCTCCTGTGGAGGTAGTGCTACACAATATTAAAGTGGTAATAAACCCTTATGTAGAACTAGCCCCGCAGTAGCCGCTTCTCTGTTCTTCTGCCTCAAATCTGAGAACAACCTCAAACACTAACACATTAGATTAAACAAATGGATACTGCACTGCTATTGAGAGTAACAATATAGATAACCTGCACACAACTAAGGTTCAGTATCAAAAAGAAAACATCAGACTGGTTAGTGGTAAATTGATCCAATATAATGTCACAGGTTGTAGTAAATAGCAGTATGCACATAAATAAGTAAATGATTAGATCAATCACAAGATCAGCAATAAATAATGACATTAGAAAACAGTAATCTCAATGATAATCAATACTGTGATAACTTCTCTGTAAACAGTAGGCGATATCCATTTTAGCTTGTACTATATATATATGGCAATGATGAAATTTAAAACTACTTAAAATCCTGTAAAGTTCTTGTGAAGCAGCTATCTGAGTGAGCAGTCTTTAGCCCTATTTCTTCAGCCGGCTAGCATTTGGACCCAGTCTTTATGGTGGTGCACATGTGTACAGTTCCTGTACAGTCTGCATACAGTATCTAATGCAGCTAGTTAGATGGCGAGTCCCTATGTGCACAGTCTCTGCTAGCAGCAACAGGTTAATAGCAGCAGTGTCTTCTCATCAGTCCCAGCAATACAGCAATAGGGTGAGGGTCTCACCCCTCAGTAGTGTTCAGAGGTCAGTCCACTTCTGGATATGCCTGGAGTGACTTCAGTGCTCGGCACAAGGACACAGGTTTGTGGCCGTATAATGTGCACACAGGAGCAGCGATGTGCACCTCTCCTCGCAGCAAAGAGAACGTTGTTTGGTATTCAGCCTTCAGCTGTCTCTCTTCCTTTATAACCAGTTTGCATTAGTCCAGTGTTCTATAGACTGCCATACTTCATCTCCCATGATTCAAGGCTGCTTCCCCTGGTGAATGGAGGTGAGGTAGTATTAACCCATTCACCTGAAGTCCAATAGGAGCACACAGATCACTGCAGCATAGTGTCCTAAATCACTCTGTCGCTAGCCAAGTACCTGGCTACATTTACATAAACTCACTGATGTGATTCAGATGATACACAGTGATGAAGCAAATCCTCCTACATAATCTGTATCTGTTTTTCTGCAGCCCCCTCTTCTCCAGAGTGCTCAAAGCTCACACTTCAAAAAGTATTTTTAAGTTTCCAGGAGGTAGGGTTGCAGGAACTTACTGTAACATCACACACTGCACAGCACAGAGCTGAGTGTAATATGATACCTGAGGAAAGGGAATAGGCATACCTCCCAATACACAGTTTCATGTTTCATATGAAACAATGCACAACTGAGACTGTCAACCGGCTATGTGCTTGGGGGGGGGGAGAGTTTGAAACTTCCAGGGGGTTGCCTTGTATCTGTAAAAAGGCCTATTTCACACAGGCGTCCTTAAGCGTACACTCATGCGAGGACCAATGTTTGCCAACATGGGGATGCAAAGGTGTTCCATGTTTCCCCCATGCAGGCAGTCCCATTCATGTCAACTGGGACACAGAGGCTGCATGGACACAACTGCTGCTCCCAGTTTTACATTTATGTAGGTGCTGATGCATGTCCCTGAAATTACAGTCTGCATTCAGGGAGATACACCTGCATCCACATGCATGTCAACATGGGAGCAGCAGCTGCATCTGTGCAGCCACTGCATTTCAACTGACATGGATGGGACTGTCTGCACATGAATGAATGTAACACCTGTGCATCACCTTGCAGGCAAATACAGCCCCTGTATGGGTGTATGCAGAAAAATATCAGATGCAGCAGAAAGCAGACAAAGGAGAGAGCTGACAGAAACCACACTAAGTGCTATAGATTAAGGCAAGTGCACAATATATGAGGATATGCTTTGTTCATTTATAATTTCAGGGGTTTACAACCACTTTTAGTTTATTTAGAAGCAAAAAATATCTTCCCAACATGCAACACTGCCCAATTCTGTTTGTCCCATTGTTATATTAAAACTAAAACACAGGTATTGATAATAAGTGTTTGCCTCACAACCAATCTCACTTTTTGGGATTTTGAAGAGAGGTAGCCACAAGTCTAAAAAGCATAGACTTGTGTTGACAGATTTCCATTAAAAGCACTGTCCAACACCTTGTTACATAAAGTGTAGTCTGCACTTTACTCAACGAGTTGTGCATAACATAATGTTACCACTGCACCCTACAATGTGCTATGTGTTACATACTCCATATTACTGCAATCTGTACAAAATGCTGTATATTACATACTGTTGACCAATGTATTATGTATCTTGTGTTATACATAACACTTCTGAGACTTCATGGGATCTGTGAAGTTCAATTGTGAGTTTTTACAATATGCTGCCTAGCAGTTATATTTGTCATCCAAATGAACGTGTGTTACTGCATACATTAATATGTGGCTAATTTTATTTTTTTTATCTTCTTTTCTAAACTTATCAGGAAGTACAAGAGTAAAAATGTCCATTTGTTTTCAACCTGCTACAAATATCGTTACTCTGTGTATTAATATTACAGTACAGTTGTTTTTTTACCTGCTACTTGGCAGTTTCCAATGCTCACTGTTACGTCATCAAGTGCTGCAAGACCACAATCCCAAAAACTTTTACACCAACTTACAAACACTACCTAAGAAAAAAAAAAAAAAAAAACAGTGCACATAACTGTGATTACTATGACATAACTGTGCATGTGAGATTTTGGTTTTGATTTTATTTCTTGATCATTTTTGTTTTAAGTAGATTAAAATATGTGCTAATGTAAAAATGAATACATTTTTCAAAGCCTAATTTCAAAGTTAAACTCTGTGTATATTAACCACTCCTAAAATTAAAACAGCTTTATCAAAATATTCTCAAGTTTAACCACTTGCCTACAGGGCACTTATACCCCCTTCCTGCCCAGGCCAATTTTCAGCTTTCAGCGCTGTCGCACTTTGAATGACAATATAATATATAAATATACTTTTTTTGAGACAGATAAAGCATTCTTTTGGTTGTATTTAATCACCTCTGGGTTTTTTATTCTTTGCTAAACAAACCAAAACAACTGAAAATTTTGAAAACAATAATGTTTTTTTCTTAGTTTTTGTTATAAAATTTTGTAAATAAGTGATTTTTCTCCTTCACTGATGTGCGCTAATGAGGCTGCAGTGATGGGTACTGATAGGCAGCACTAATGGGCACTGATGAGGAGGCACTGGTAGGTGGCACTGATGGGCATTGACAGGAATCACTGATGGGCACTGAAAGGGTAGCACTCATACATGGCACTGATAGGTGGCACTGATAGGTGGCACTGACGGGCAATGATAGGCAGCACTGACTGGCACTGATAGGTGGCACTGATTGAAAGCACTGATAGGTGGCACTGACTGGCATTGATAGGTGGCACTGACTAGCACTGACAGGTGACACTGAAAGGCAGCTCAGATGGGCACTCATATGTGGCATTGATGTGCACTGGTAGGCACTGATATGTGGCATTGATGAGGCACTGATGGGCACTGGCAGGTGGCATTGATGAGCACTGACAGCTGGCATTGATGGGCACTGACAGGTGGCACTGCTGGGGCTACACTGATCATCAGGGCACACTGATCATCAGTGCCCTGATGATCAGAGTAGATGTCCCCTCTGAGGAATGCCGATTACCGGCTCTCCTCTCCTCACGAGCTGTGAGGTTATCGGCATTTCCCTATTTACATACGATCAGCTGTGATTGGACACAGCTGGTCACATGACTGAGCCAACATCTTCGGCTCTTTCCGTTGATCAGTGATCCGCTATGTCCGAGGGACACAGCACACCACCAATCGCCCCGCTGTGCGCTCCTGGAGCCGCGCACATGCAGTTAGAGTGGGAGGACATCATATGACGTCTTCCCAGAACGAGACAACCACCTTGTGCCCGTCATTTCCTTATATCGCGCGGGAGGCAGTTAAAGAAGAACTCTTTTGTAAAATAGAATAATATAGCATATAAAATTGCTACACAAGCCAACTTGTAATTTAATATTGCTACAAATCCCCATTCCATTTCAATCTGAAGTTGCTGCCATTTTCTGTTTAGGATATTCAATGTAATATGGCAAACAGGATGATTTCTTTACAGCGCCAAAACCTGGATGGGTTATGTACGCCAGAAATGTAGTTTCTGCTCTGTAATTGGCTCGCTGATTTTCTCAGATGTCTGCACTAAGATACAAGTAACATTTAAAGCATCATCTGCAAAACAAAATTTTTTTTGGAAATATACTCCCTGAGGGCTAACTACACCTTAAGGGATGGATACTTGATACATTTTTTATTTTTCTCAACAAAAGTGGAATTACACTTTAAAACACTGGCAACCTGTTCACATATTTGAAACAAAATCAATTGCAGCCAATCTTTCCTCCCTAAAGTTAGCCATAAACCAGTCAAAATTTGACTGGTTCAGTAGTGGTTGGCTGAATAAGGTTTAGCAATTAGAGGTTGCAGCCACTGATCAGTGTATTCTGACAGTTCAGGTACTGACAGGGTGCTGCTGTTAGAACATAAAGTCCTGGGGAAAAGCTGCAACAGTAAAGAGACTACTACTGCTTTCCAAAAGAGCCAACTATTTCAGTTCTTAAAAGCATAATTTGATAGTTTGGGGTAGTTTTGTTTAGGTTTATACTGTATTAAGGTGATGTTTTATATATTAGTTTTACTGGTTTTATACAATTTTTATTTTACAAACATTTAATGCAGGGTGCACTCATTACACAGCATTATTGGTTTTCTAAAGAGTGAGTACAACAGAAGTTGCTTCACACAGAGTCATCTGAAAAAGGGTGAAAGAAGGGGGACAGATCACTGCTTTGGCTCATTCACATATACATGTAAATGTCAGCTTTTGCTATTGAGCTCTGTAAACAAAATACATTTTTCAGCAGCCACGTTAAGGTTAAATCATTATCAGAACCTAGAGTTCCACCTACTGGATGCATAAATTAAAAATATTTACCCAAAATAATGTTTTGCTACGTGGCATCTACAGTGCCATTTGCATGCGAAAGGTTTATTTTGTGAATAGAGAATTCTGCCTGCATTTAATCACTATGTCATAGCTGACACTCTGGTTCTCAATCATTAATGGGACTAGAGCTGTCAGTGACAACTGTGTCTGTCACCAAGCAGTCTTGAAAAGTGTCAGCTGCTTCCTGTCAGACCCAGCTGTCACTGTGCCCTTTGGCATCAAGGCAAAGCCATACATTAAAGCGCGGATCATTGTTTCTTTGCAAACTTTAGGCAAGAATGGCTTTAACCAGGTAATGTTTCTGGTATTTTTAGAAAATACCTAGTGCTAGTGATATTTAGGAAACAGCTAGTGCAATATATGAGAAAATGCTCATTTAACCACTATGTACACATTCTGTACCTGGCAAGTCATGGGCTTATTTATGCTAATTTCAGCTTGTTGCCAAACTCCTTTAGGTGACTCCTGAACAGACCAAATTTTTTCTTGAACCACATGGTTTTCTTCAAAGATGTACACAGCCAAGGAGTCACTCATCTTAGAAAATCCATAGAGTGTGTAGAAAAATCTTAGACAATACTGCATGTTTCCTGGCAAAGAAGGGCCATAAAGACGTCCCAAATAACCCGACTGAGAAGTAAATCTTGTATTAGCCAGCACGAAATAACCTGTAAAATGCACACTCAGTAAACACATCTAATAATGATTAATTCAATAAATAATAGATATAATGCACTGAACACAGTGTACAATGATATTTTGACAGAATCTCAAAATAACTGATTGCAGTTCAAAACAGTATCACAAGCATTTTACAATTGGATTAACAGGGTCATTGGGGTGAATTCACCAAAGGATTCTGCATGCGATTTGATAGTCACGTCACCCATTTTTCATAAATATCGTATGAGATAATAAAAGTGTCAATTCATCAAAGTACAACATCGAATGTGAGGTAAATACCACAAAAAAAAAAAAGATAAATCGTAAAAGCTAAATTCACTAAAGAACACACACATTTGTTATGTGTCACCTGCCAGTAAGCAGGTTTTAGTAATGTACAAAATAACAATGAGGGGAACTCTGCATTGGCCAGTAAATTAAAAGTAAACAATGTATCAGTGTGGAAATGTTCTGTCCTGAGTTTATGAAGGAAAATAAATTGTAACATTTCACCAGAGGGAGATCGTTCTATGATTGAGAGCACACTAAAATGTTTTCACGGTTTACAATACAATACAGTATGTCTTTGTGCATTTATTTACAGAACTATCTTCTCTGGTGCTCTTCTGATGTAGTGTTAACATGTAAAAAAAATTTATGAAAAAACAACGCTAACAATAACGCTAAATTTAAGTGATAAATATTGCAAAACATAAATATTTAACACATTCTGTAAAAAATAAGTTTTTTAGTGGATCGACTGCTTTTGAGATAAATAACGCATGAGTTATTTTAAGTTTAAAAATTCATGCAGTATTCATCTCTTAATGAATTGACCCCATTTTACTAAAAACTAAGATTGTATTTGGTAGAATTGCCACCTGTATCTCATAGAGAAGATGTTAAAATATCTGCCTGGGTTCTTAATTATACTGCGTATCATATATATAATGCAAGATGCCTGTTGAAAATTTCCATTTACTATACATTATGGAAAATTTTGTAAAAACAGACTCTTCCAATTGGAGAACAGGAAGCATGAGCAAAGTCCCCAACAGATAGAGGTTGCAAGTAGATTTACAGTAGACCAGGGGTGGACTGACAAGTCATGGGGCCCCCGGGCAATAGGGGATCATGGGGCCCTGGTGTCCTTGCCCAAACTCAAAAAATCCTATGAAAAAAAGGTACCAGGGGCATCTCATGGTGCCTCCTACTGACCCCGGGCCCTTGGGCAGTGCCCAAGTTTCCAAATGGTCAGTCCGCCCCTGCAGTAGACTGTTTTTGCCAGTTACTTAAATGTTAGTTGTGGTCTGTCTCTTTAGGACCCAAGAAGCTAAGCTGTTTATTATTTAAAAAAAAGTAAATTGGCTACTGATAATCTAAATGGTTTGTAAATGTGTTACTGTCATTGAATTGACTTATGGTTTTAGTTGACCTATCTGCTGATCCAGCAATGACTGGTCATTCAGAATCATTGGTAATTTGTTTTAATATGGAACACCAAACACACACCTAAATACATGTTTCTTCATCATCACTGAGGGACACTGAAAATCAGAAGTGTCCAAGGATGTTGGAGGCTTTTTTTTCAGAATAAAGAAAAAATTCCAATTCTTTAGCCTTCTAACTGCACAGTATTTTTCCTTGTAGACTTCAATCAAGTTTCTTTCCACTATAGTTGTGTCCTTTTTCTCAGGACATACAAATGGGGTTATCTAGCACCTCTGATAAATGTGGTCCCTAACTATGGTAACAGTTGCTGAAACAAATTACTTAAAGGTGTTTGTTTTTGGGGTGTTTTTTTGCTGGCTAGCTTGAAAATGTGCCAGGGGCAGCTTTTTAAATGTTTGTATGGAATGTGGCTTTATTAGGAAACATGTAAAAAAAACCATTAATAAAAAAAATAAAAATAAAAAACTGTACTTTCACTAAAAAGTTTATATTTTTACTTTTCATAATAGACGCTAGAAAAAAATCCAATACAGTTGGTTACCGCTACTGAAATAATTTTGTGTATTGGGTGCTGCTTGAGCTCAATGCACTTGTCTCCAAAAAGTACCTTCTAGTGGTGGCCATCAAAGCAAAGATGCATGCAAACACAGAGCAGTTCCAGCATTACTTGCAAAGCTCTCATAAAGTTATTGAGAGGTTATGCATACAAATAACACAGCACAATACAAAAGGCAAAAAGGAGAAAATAATTGTCTTAGTTTCAAGTTCTGCCTGACTGCATGCTAGTACAAGCAAATGGGAAATCTTTAGGATCAAAACATAATGAAACAGCTAACATTTATTTTGTCTGGATCTATATTTCTGGCACATAAAGTGGTGGTCACTTGGCAAAATTCACCTCAGAGTTGAGTAATCCTTTAACAGACAAGTGCAGTTTAAGTGCATAGCACCCACCTCTGGTTTAGGCACAGCTCAAACTCTATTCATGTAAATGGAAAGCCTATATACAGCTTACAAAGCTGTTTAAAGGCGTTTCCCATTTAGGTGAATGGCATTTAGGCCACACTTGTGTCAGGGGCCAATTTCAGGAATGAGAACTTTTTAAAGAGTTGCTATGTAGTGGCTGAGCAAGCCATCCTGGAGCTTAATTTTAGGTAAACCTGTACTAAATGTTGGGAGACTTATTATTAAGTATTACATACAATGGATTTTGTTCTAATACCCAAACATATCACAGGTTTCTGTAGTGTAGTTGCCTTCCCATAATTTTGCCATGGGACCCAATAATTTATGCCTCTTGACATATTATTATAGTATTTTCAATTTTGTATCCATATAAAGCATTTAGGAACAGTGTTCATTGGCTTCTGTTCACCTCACAACTGCTTTCCTCCCCAGTCAAGCCTATAGGAAGGAAAGCATATAGCAAGTCAATTGCACCTGCAATGAATTCTGAATGGTCTGAGAAGCATCTCAAACCAACACCAAAATCAAACTGCATTTACCCATTAAAGCCCATTAACACTGGCCCTTGTAGTTGTGCAGAAGTGGAAACAATGTCACAAACAAAAAGGAATGAAAAGACGGTCATCACAATAAAGCCCAATGAATGGATCACTTTACTCGCTGAACGTGCTTTTCATAATGTACCCAGGCCGGTTGTATGGTCTCCCATTCTGTAGATATTGGGCTTCACTTTCACTCTACTCCATCCATCTTTATTATCTAGGTGGAACGTGCAAAGATCATTCTCAAAATCACATCCAGCTTCATGTGCATTGAATACAGTGTCTGAAAAAAAAAAAAACAAAAAAAACACCTTAGACATGGTATGAAGGAAAGAATTATAGATCTGGAACAGGTGGTCACCATCTATGTTAACAGAATAAGACAGGAGAGAAAATGGTTGAGGTCAGCACTTATTTTGGCATTGCACGTGTTTCTGATATGTAATGTTCATACAATGGAGAGCACATTGTTCTTCATGCTGTAAAACAAAAAAGCATAACATCAAAGGAGAGCTGAGTGCAATATGTATCCGGGAATCATTTAATAAATCTTTACCCAGCATGAGTAAGAAAAAAGAATACCTAAGAGATTTATATTTCTAAAATGACATCATTGTAGTTTCCAGCTCAGTAATATTCCTTCTTCCTGATATTATTGCCACATAGGTTTTAACCATAGCATGCCTCATACAAACAGGTTTAGGTAAGAAGATAAAGCAGTATGCTGAGTGGTTAAGCCCAAAGCAACTAATTTGAATTGTATTTGTAGCAGAACTGACTACAATAAATTTAAATGTAGATACAGTAGGTGACTGCAGTCAGCTTATCCCAGCTTTGCCCTGGCCTATTAACCCTGCAAATTGTAAAGAAGAGGTAATAACCATCTTGTATGTTTATATGTGTCAATAATGATGAAGGATAGTTTTATGTAACTGAAAAAAATAGATAAAAAAGTTTAAATTAGCCATATATTGGCCATGCTTGTGAGAACACAGGATGAGCACTGAACATCAAACATCACCATTACCAAATCATATTTTCCTTGGTATGAATATTAAAGTGTATCTAAATCCAATGTAAAAAATGTAATATCTTGCAGGTTACCTATCCTTAACTACTTCCCCCCCCGCCCGGCCTATAGTAATATGATGGCCGAGCGAACCTCTCGTTTCTCCAGGAGGGCGTCATATGACGTCCTTCCCAGATTGCGCCATGCGTGCTCTGGGGGGGCCGCGCTGTTTCAAAATCTGTCACGGGCTGTGTACCTCAGACACGGCCGATGACAGATCTGTGTACCGACCTCATTGCCAGTACCATGCAGGGGTGGACTGACAAGTCATGGGGCCCCTGGACAATAGGGGATCATGGGGCCCCTGTGTCCTTGCCCAAACTCAAAAAAGCCTATGAAAAATGTACCAGGGGCATCTCATGGGGCCCCCTACTGATCCCGGGCCCTCGGGCAGTGCCCTAGTTTCCAAATGGTCAGTCCTCCCCTGGTATCATGTGACCTGCTATGACCAATCACAGCAGGTCACATGACAGTTATATACAATGGATGGCTTCCTTTCATGCCATCCATTGTATACAAGTGTGTCTAGCTGTGAATGGTCACAGTGATCACATGCACAGGCTGGGCCAATCACAGCCCATCTGTGTCATGTGATTAGCTGTGGCCAATCACAGCTAATCGCAACAAAAAAACCCGAATGAATCGATTTCATTCAGTTAAATGCTTGTTTATAGCAAAGAAATTCTTTGCTATCCGCAATCAAATTGTGTAAGAATAAAATACTGATCACTTCCCCAAAGTAGTACAATGTTACTATGGTAACATTATACTACTTTGGTCATAGTGTAATGTGAAAATAAAAATCTTAAAAAAAAGAGAAAAATTTTTTATAAACAATAAACAAATTAAAAAAAAAAAAAAAAAAAAATGATCAATTTATTTTTTTGCATACTATCACCAGTCAATGTCCCTGATCTCCACCACACCAGTTATATGATGATGCTGTATAGCACTGGTGACAGTATGTAAAAAATAAAATTATGAAATTGTGTTAATTTTTAAAACATTATGACAAAAAAATTACAACTTCAAAAAAAAAACTCGCCATGCCTCTTATGAAATACGTTGGACTGTCTACTTTGCAAAAAGGGGTCATTTGGGGGATATCTGTACTGTTCTGACATTTTTAGGCCTCAAGAAATTAGATTGGCTGTCAGTACTTCAGGATTGATTAATTTCCAGATATATACCATAGTTTGCGAACTCTAACTTTCCTACAAACTAAATAATAAATACTGATTTGGGTTATTTTCACCAAAGACATGCAGCAGAATACATCTTGGCCTAAATTTATGAAGAACAATTATTTATTTGCAAACTTTTATAACAGAAAAAAAGAAACATGTTTTTTTTTTTCAAAATTTATTGTTAATTTAGCAAAAAAATAAAAACCCCAGTAGTGATTAAATACCACCAAAAGAAAGCTCTAGTTGTGTGAAGAAAATTATAAAAATTTATTTTGGGTACAGTGTTGCATGACCGTGCAATTGTCATTCAAAGTGTGAAAGCGCTGAAACCTGAAAATTGGCCTGGGCAGGAATGGGGTAATAGTGCCCGGTATTGAAGTGGTAAAATGTGATGGCCAAATTCATTTTTTTCCAGGCTTTCTTCCTAAATGTTCATCTCTTGATCCTGCCAGAAATACTCTTCCTGTTCTGGTGTAACAGTGCCCACAATGATCTTTAAAGTGGGACTTCACTCTCTCAATCCACATTGACTATTTATAATCCTTATATTACCATTAGTAAATAGAAAAGTATATTATATTTACTTGTTTAACTTTTTTTTACATTTCTTCAGTTACTTCCTGGTTTCAAGGCCTAGGCAAATGATGTCATACATCCCAGGATTCTTCGGGAGGGGAGTAGGGGTTTTCTTAGCTAAGCACACCCTCCTGCCTGAGCAAAGGGAAGATGGATTCCAGGAAGTAAATGCTACATGAATCATCTGCCCTTACTTCAGATGGCTGCGGCCAGAAATGCTAGTGAGGTGTTTTTTTAAAGTGATTTCTCAGCACAATAAAGCATGGTGACATGGATGGATGGGTGAGTATGCTTTGAATATTAAAAATGAATTACATAGGTTTTGAATTTGTGGTGCTCAGATGCAGTGTAGTTCCACTTGAATGTACTTATGGAAGTGCAGCATTGTTGCCCTAGGACAAGAAGTGTCTTTTGACAACAAAAAACCTCCTCCTTTTATTCTCTAGACATGTGTGATTTGTTTCAATACATATCAAAATTGGGACAAATTTGCATGATCACAATAGTAATGAATTTTATCTAATCCAAAATAAACTATAACAAAACAACAAATTCATTTTTAATAATTTGTTTCATTCGGATAACATGATGCGATAGTTAAGGCCTTTTATTAACGTTTGAAGCATCCGAAATATCGACATAATGAATGATCCAAATTGATTGATTCATTTTTTATTTTTAGTAAGCGTAGCGTGAATATTCCAATAAGATTCTTTTTGTATTAGGTTTGAACTTGAGAGACCATTCATTTAATTTGTGTGCCTGGCCCAAGAAACAGTCCTTTGGGAATGGGAAAACAAATTCAACTTAATAAACAATAATGAATGAATACGTATTCATTCATTATGTTAAAACGAATATAGCCAATCTTCCAAAATAACAAAAGAATAATAGAACTTCCAAAAATTCAAATCGATTTGGATCAATGCATATATACTCCCCTGCAATGATGAATTGTTCTGAAAATAAATCATTCTAACAATGATTATGACAGAGCAAAATTATTTACTTAATGAATGAAACTAAAATGAAACAAATGTGTTCAAGGATATGTTCTGTGGTTCACCAAGAACCCTAGGAACAATGAAGTGATAACAGTCAGCAGAGACAGGGAGCACAGGATTTCTGACAGAATCAACAGATTTTTTTGCAATTATCAAACAATATAACAAAACACTTTCAATTGTATATTTATGAGATCAAAGGGAGCAAATAAAATAAGTTATTTGATAGAATTTACATACATTTTAGGATGCTGATCCCCAGCTCTGTTATTTCACCTAAGCCATGCTTTCAGGCTACACATGGACACTATGGGCATTTTTGCATCATCAGAGTCTGCAGGTAGTTTATTGCCCAGCAGAACTTGTTTGCAGATAAATTTAGGTTCAGTAAGGCACACTCATTATGCCTCATTATTTCACAGGATGTAGCCTCCATATATAATGAGAAATATTTCTTCACCTATGTAAATATATAATTACATACTATACACAAACACAGGTTTTTTAAAGCTCAGTAAATTTGGATGGATCAGCAGATTCTAACATCCAGCTTTCGGATAACCAGCATTTGATCATAGTTTTCAGCCAATGACCGAAGCTCTGATCTGTGTATTCTGATGGGAAAGGGGGAGGAGCCCCCACTGCCAGAATACAAACAGTGCAGTCGGAGAGATCATTGCATCCACATCATTTGTGTTGATGCAGGGATCTATGAGCTTTTTTTTTTTTTTTTTTAACCCACTTGTTGAACATAAAAAAAACCAATGTAGATATACCCTGCTTTAGTATTAACACACCCTGGTAAGCTTATTTATTTATATTATGCTGTTCACATTTACTGTACATGCAAAATCTTATATAGTAAAAAGACTGCAATTGTTGTCAAGACTGAACTGTTAACTTGGATGCAGTATGCTCAGTAATAAAGTGCATCTCCTGTCCTTTTTCCATTGGCCTGGTTCACACTGGATCCAACTCTGAAATCGTGTGACTTCACTTCAAGGTGCACGATTTCAAAGTCAGATGGTAGTGCAACTTCGGTGCAAATTCATAGACATGCGGCAGCAGAGTGGCTAAATGGTTAGCACTTCTGCCTGGCAGTACTAGGGTTGTTAGCACCACCTGCCTGGAGTTTGCATGTTCTCCCTGTGCCTGCATGGGTTTCCTCCAAGTACTCCAGTTCCCTCCCACACTCCAAAGACATGCTGGTAGGTTAATTGGTTCCTGTCTAAATTGGCCCGTGTACGTGTATGTATGAGTGGTAGTGAGGGACCTTAAATTGTACACCCCTTGAGGGTTAGGGACTGATATGAATGTACTATATATATATATATATATATATATATATATATATATATATATATATATATGTGTGTAAAGCACTGCATAAAATTGATGGCACTATATAAGTACCTGAAATAAATAAACAGATATCTGTACAACTTCA